TACCAAATTTACAATCCACAAATTATCACTTCTGGGCGTATAGCTGCCTATTTTCACCTCAAAATGTTTTATTCTCCAACAAAGGATAAATTCAAAACTGTAAGTATGCGGAGTTCTAGGCAGCTATATTTTTAAAAGATAATATAAGAAAAATCACAATATTTTTTAATGTAAATGTGCATATTTGTGTGTTCAAAATGAGCAACTTATTAATACTCCAACAAATATACGTTTCAAACAGCTGATCACACTTTCAAAATTGGGCAACTGATTAATACTCTCCAAGACTCCAATCTCCATCAACAAACATGCGTTTGAATAGCTGATCACCAATAGCAGTCAATTAGCCAACTCTAATTATACAAATCAAAATCAATCATCAACCATCAATCATCATTCAGTGGTAATCATGAACCAAAAAACTAAAAAAAATGTCACATCCTCTCCAACAGTCAAAACTATCTAAAAACCCCTTTCACCACCAAAAACCTTTTCTTGTATCCCCTGATCATCTATCACAAAACTCACACCACAAAAGAATCCCAAAAGAAAAATTAACCAAAATCCATGGAGAACAACATAAAACAAACAAATGAATTAACTATAGAGTATAGTATTAGTATACCCCAAAACTCTCCCCTTTCTTTACATCCCATCCATACACAACAGTATACAAAAAATCACTAGTCAGCCCGAACCCAAACCCGAACCTCTCTCCCAAGGCAGCAAGCCAGTCGACAAATCCGCTAAATTCGCCAGCACAAAATCCCTCAAGCCCGTATCCCAAACCTCACAAAACCTCTTGGGCCAATCAGGCGGCTCGATTGCTTCAGTCCCCAAGCCCGGGGCCCGATCTCTCGAACCCTCGTTTTGATTTTCCCGCCAATCTACCACATAAGTAGCCACCCTCCGGTAAAACTTAGCCCGAAAAACCTCCCACACTTGATACTTGTAATGGTTAATCATAACCGTCCCTAAAGGCAAGTTCACATAATCGAACCCCTCCCGAAGCTTGAAGTGGTGTACAACATTCAGTAACGTGGGGTCCACAGCTTCGGGCCTGACCACCGATTTATGCCTTTCTGGGCTCTGCAGCCTGCACGTGTAGCCCACCGCTACCCCCTTAACGGGCCTGACGCTCAGGCCCGAAGGCCCGAAACTGTGGCACGACGCTCGGATTTCCCCGACGTTCGCCGAGAAGTTCGACACGAGCTCGCGGAGCGCGAACATGGTCGCGTGGCCTAACGGCCGGTACATTTGGTGGGCGGGGGTAGAATAGGGAAAGTAGAAATACTCGTCGACGTCCATAAACGAGACCCAATGGCACTCGTCTCGGGCCCGCAATGCGCAGTGCGAGAATCCGGCTTCTTGAGTTTTGACCCACGGCCAAATGCGCCTCGAGACTTTGTAATTTTCGAGGTTGAGTCTTTCGACGGCCTCGTCGAGCCCGTCGTCGCTATTGTTGTCGTATATGAAGAATTTTTCGACTCCGAGCCAAGAATGGTACATTATCCACTCACGTATGGCCGAGGCTTGGTTCCAAACCATCGTGCAAACGCAAAGCTCGTGTCTTTTCTTGATTGTTTTATTATTATTATTATTATTATCTCTCGATTTGGGTTTCGAGGAGTCGATGATAATCTTGGCCACGGATGGCACGAGAGCACGGTTATGATGGACGCGAGGCGTGAATCCTACGGTTATGCGGATTTGTTGAGATTTGTGATCGATTTTACGAAGGGCAATCGGAAGGGGACACCTCACGACTTCTTGAGCGGCGGTTAAAGCTCTCGTGGAGAGTGTATATGAGTTGTTTGTGTTCTTCGACTGTTTTTCGAATAATCCAAAATGGCAGGTAAATGGGCTCGGGTTGGATTCTCTTCCGGGCCTCAAATTCAATCCCTTTACAAAAACAACTACACTGTCCCTATCAAGAACAGCTTCATAAGCCAAATTTTCCCAAGAATTGGTTGCAGGTATCCGATTAATTGTCGAAAACAAACGATTTTTCCCACCAAAGATTGGATTTTTACCCGATTTCAAATCCACAGCATTCGAATAATTCACAGGTGGGAGAGGGCACCTCGCAACCCATCTAAACCCATCAAATTCATCCACAGAAATCACGCTTTTGCTAAGAAATTTGCTACTGTACTTTCTCGAATCATCGATTTTCGAATAATAAACACACTCAAAACCCTCATCCCTGCTCTTTCTCAAAAACCCATATCCTTTCCCACCACTCACCAGTAACAGAACATGGTCCGGGAGAAAAACCCGGCTCTCGATCCTCACCGGAGAAAAAAACCGGCGAAATTCGCGAACCGATTTGACCGTTCTCGAGCTGGACGAGGACAGTACGGAGAGGCTCGAGTCGACGAGAGCCGGGCGAAAAGCAGAAGCCAAAAAGTGATTTCGATACGAAAGGGTGTAAATAAAGGTCAGGAAACTGAAACACACGAGAAGAGATCTTACTGACAGAAAGTGCCGAGGAAGATAGCAGCTGTACGAGGTAGAAGAATACTGCCGGAGAATGCGTTTCCGCTTGCGGCGTTGATCGGAAGATTCCATTTTTCTTCGTTTAAACGATAATTTGGGGTAATTTTCCTTCAATTCTGCAGATCTGTATGTGTACCGATTGAGTAAATTGCACTTTTTGTGTGTCTTTTTTGAAGTTTGAAAAAAAAATTGCAAATACGGTTTTGTTGTTTCCCTGTGAGGAAATACGGTGAATGTCGGGAGAGAGAATGAGGGAAAAAGACGAGTGTTTTTAGAGTCAGTTTTGTGAACGCGTTTATTGGGAATTTATTTTATTGGGGCCCAATAGCTAAATGTAACTTTGTAATATCATTGGAATTTATTATACATACATATATACATATTTTTATTTGAAAATGTGACATTTGGGTATTAATTATAAGCATCTGTGAAATTCAATAGGGTCACTGTTAGGATTTAGGATGATATAGGGCTTCAAACGAGTCGAGGAATTTTCGAGTGCTCGAGTCATTGTTCGATTCGTATTCCACCATTTGAAATTCAAGCACGTATTGGGGCGTTCGACGAGTTACTCGAATGTACGTAAAATTACTTGAATACCTCTCACTAAACATTTTTTAATTAAAAATTTTGAATCGATCGCATTCGAGTTGGTCTTGAGCGTTTATGTTTTATTATCGGGTCGAGCCGAGTCTCAAGAAAGTCTGGCTCATCGAGTTCAATCACGTATTGGGCTCTCAACGAGCTGCTCGAATGTACTTAAAAGTACTTGAATACCTCTCACTGGACATCTTTTAATTTAAATTTTTTAATCGACCGCATTCGAGCCAATCTCGAGCGTTTGTGTTTTATTATCGAGTCGAGCTGAGTCTCAAGGAAGTCAGGCTCATCGAGCTCGAGCATCATGGCTCGATAAGGCAATACTCGGCTCAGCTTGCTTCGGCTTGTTTGCAGCTCTCGACAGGTCTTACGGTTAGCCAATTTTACTATTTCAATATATATACATATTTTCGTGAAATACCATACTCTAATAAAGAATTTGATATTCATGGTATAGATATATATTTCTGTTTTGAAAAAATATAATGGGTCTATCCGTCTAATAATCAGACCGTCTCATTCAATAATCTCCGTTATCCTTATATATAATTATTGAATGTGTTGACCTTAAGTGGCAGGTTCGCATTCTTCGTAATCCTATGTGGCAAAATTTCATGTATCATTATTTGGCTTGGATAAATATTAATTTACTTCCAATCCAAAATAATTAAATTCGAATTATCCATAAATATGTTGATTATTTACGGTCATTTATATGTATTAATTGTATTTTAATATCATTTCCTATTATAATCATTTGATTGTAAATGTAAAAGTTAATAACTTTTGTATGTTTTTTTTATCAATTTTATATATATAATATATCAAATTAATCATCTCTTGATGAGTTTTGATTTGACATCTATATTGTATTTATAAAATGAATAATTATATTTATCCTTTTAATAATACTAAATTATTTATTAGTATTATTTTAAAAAATAAAATTATTTATCAATTAATATAATTATGTTTAAAGTAGTTATTTGATATAAGTTTAGAAAAAATATTATAATATAACACAGGTAAGTCGGACAAGTAACAAGTGTCATTCTAAAATATATAATGTATGTTTTATGTAAAAAAAATATTTAAATTTTAGATATTTTTTTCTCATTAATTTTAAAAATAATTTTTTTAACAGGCACTCGTTTAAAACACGAGTGTTCTAGAACACTCGTTTGTGTATTAAAATTTTAAAAAATATGATTGCTAATAGTTAAACAATATACAAGATTGTTTGGTAGGAATTTAGGAATTTAAAATACAATAATTGAACATGTAAAATTATGATTGACAAATCAAATTTAAAAACCTATTTTGTGTTCTAATATACACATTTACCATTCGCCATTTCAGTTAATTATCTGAATTTTCTTTAGTTATGCTATAAAGAACTCAATGTTTTTCTCTCAATCATTTTTATTTTTATTTCTCTACCCTAATAGGGGTTAACTGGTGTAGCCCATACCTATTTTCCCAAATCCTGTGACAATTTTTTTTTTTTTTTATTTCACATTATTGCGTGTGAGAGATTATTTAGTTCAATTTTATTTTATTTGTATTGTATAAAGAATGACAATAACATACATGCCAAAACATGGAAGTCAGTGGTAGCCCCCACCAAGTTACCTACATTTTGCTATTTTGATGCCCATATTTTTGGAATTTGGCAATAGTTTGTTTGTTTCTAAACTATCTGCATCAATTCACACTCATTTATTAATGTTAATTTCTCATTAGGCCCTAAATTATCACAATCTATATATATATAAAAAGAATTAGTATTTACTAAATATAGTAGTAAAAAAGTCAATGAGCATTTAATGCATACTTTATTTGGAAATTTTTAAATATATGCATTAATTGTTTTAATATATACACATTTCCAAATCATATATGATCAAAAAGATTCTTTCCTTGAATAATTTTATTATCATATGCAATAATGTTATTGATATTCATTATAATAAACTATAATTTCATTTTTCATAATTGGTGTTGATAATATTTTTGTCAACATAACCATGAAAACAAATTTTAAGTCTTAACCATAATATTAATTTTTTTTCAAAAATGTTGACTTTCATCCTAAAATATTTATAGACAATCGTAACATGTTAAATAATTCTCCCTCTAACTAATTAGCCGAAATCCAGTTGGTGAATAATAATTTTCAATAATATTTTTTAACCTTTATTTAATTATATAAACAAATAATTTCTTTAAACTAAAATAATTTACCATTTAAGAGATAATGATCACATCATTAAATAATTTATTAACGGCTAAATAATAAAATTAAAATATATTAACTATTCTTTACAGTTTCAATATTTGATTTATTTGTATATTATTGTCAACCACGGTAATTTTATTATTTTTTATTTTTATTTGTTTCCATAATGAATTTATTGTAAAATATATATTTATATTGCATAGTATGTTAAATAAACTAATAAAACCTTAGGATGCAAATTAGAAAAATCTCTTGATTATATAAGGGTTTATTATTTGACAATTTGCTAAATCAAATTTTTTTAATTATTATGAGAAATTTTAAAAAACATGTGTGTGTATTTTATAAACATTTATACACAAAATTTTATTTTAAACTTCATTACATAAACTAAGAAGAAGTAGACAACTATATAACCTATAAATAATAATAATGACATTATATGACAACAAATATTATAATAAAAAATTAATTGAGTATTAAATGGTGAACAAGAATAAGAATAATTTTTTTTATATCGATGAATAAATATATATTGTAAAATTAAATTTATATTAGTATAACGTGTAAGCAGAATGATATATTAATTAATATATCAACTTTATGACTAAAATAAATATCACTGATTGAAAGAAGTGGAAAACTGATGATGCAACCCTATTATTTTTTGCCAAAATGTACAAGTCCTATAAAAATGACTCAATTAATATATGTGTCCCGTGCATCGCACGGGCTATATACTAGTTGAACCTTAATTGAGAATGCAAATTGGGTATATGAGTTGGATTGCATCACATTTTGTGGTAGTTATTATGTTAGGTTGATGTACTTTTTTTTATTTTTTTCCCCACAAATATGTATGATTTGTTGGAAGATATCATATTGTAAAAAATAAAAATAAAAATAAAAATATGACATTCAATTATAAAATTATATACTTATATCTATCTAAGTATGATGGTTAACCCGTCTAATGTTTAAAAAAACTCTACATGTGAGAATACTATCAACTGTTTAAACTGAGCTCTATTTTGTTTCATCCATCTTCCTTAAATCAGTTGAAATTTGAAAATAGATAGTTCGATTAAATTTTAAACATTTTTTTATCAACTTTATAAATGGTAAATTGATGATATATATACAAATATATGTCTCATGGCATTAAATTTTACATGCATTAGTGTCTGAATTATCCAGCAATAACTGTTCATTAATTATCTATTAACAACTTAAAATTATTCACAATTATCATCACCAGCACATTACTAATAAAGCAGAAAAGGAAAACTAAAGCAATAACAACCAAAAGAACAAAAGAGCTTTATTTTTGTGTGGTCCTCTTGTTGGACCAGCTAATGTTAGCACAGCCTGGAGATAATTATTTTTAACCATTTTACAAGTCTACTTTTGTTTTGTTAGGTATAAGCTTCTTTTGAACCTTTATTTATTTTATTCTTGTTTTCTCCTAAAAAGTATAAAAAATAGTTATTGTTTGCTGGAGATGATGATAATGTAAACTATTTCAATTTATACACACATATATATACACACAAACATCTTGAACATGGAGTCAAACAACTATTGGGACAAATATATATATATATTAAAGTGAATATAAACTTATTTTACAAGGAAATTAATAGACAAATAGTAATATTTCAAGTCTTTTATTCGGGTTAACTTATTTGAATTTCTGTTTAAGATACATTATTTAATCTAAACACATTATTTAATTACTTCATAGCTAGTTTAGCTAGCACATTACTTGATCTAAGATGTGATTTCAAATTCCTTAGCCCAACATAATGTTCATTACACACACACATACATACAGGCAATCTAGTACTGTACATAAAGATTAGTGGGCTAAATTGTTTTTTTTTTTTTAAGAGCTGCCATTAAGACCAGAAAGGACTGTCGCAATCATAATTTATTTAAATTATTCAACTATTCTTTCAGGTCAGCTTAATCATTGAGCAATATAACTTTTTAACAAATATACATAATTATACATAACTGTTAGCACTAAATCACTATATAAATAAAAGTATAACATTTTTTGATATAATATATTTGTGTATTCAATATTATAATGAGTTGAACGGACTAATAGTTAGAATGTCTCACACAATAATCAATCTTAGAGTATACCAACATGTATAAAACTATATAGAACATATGTTGGTCACAAAATGATTATTTCATGTTCCATATTCAGGTTTCAGTTTGTGTTTTGCTCAATTCAAATTCGAATGAAATGTGATGAAATATGAATTACATACACGATCAGAACCTACTTTTTTTTTCTTTTTCTCTTTTTTTTTTTTTGGGTGTTAA